GGAACCGCGGTTCAAACCTCAGCACCACATGCCCCACCAGCCCCACCCTGGGAGGCTGAGCCCATCCCCCCTCGCCAAAAAAAAGAAGAGCACTTGGACAACAGGGAGTAGAATTTCAAATGCCAAGTTAAAGTTGTTACTGGCTGCCTGGTTCTCTCCCGTAAATGTGTACCTTTTGGAGGATATGCTTGACATGATCTTGGACCTGCTTCTAGGGATAAGGGTCAACTGTCAGGCCAGGAATACAGGGACCTCCAAGGTTCAATAAATCCCCAGGCAATGCCCGCTTGCTGCCTGCAGGTGGCAGCACCATGACTCACAGACTACAAAGCCAGAAACCCTTTCTGGCAACTAAAAATAGCCACAAAGCCCAAGGGAAAAGAGAAATTTTGGTGATTACTTTGCATTGTGAAGTGTCTGATGTGGCCAGTTTGTAATTAGTAACAACAGGTTTTCATCCCAGGGTGACTCCTACTTAAGTCACCCACAAGTGAACCATTTCAACACAATCATTTTCCCTTTAAACGTTCCCTTCCACATCTGGCCCATCTGCATATATTTTTATATAGATGCACTCAGAGTCTGCTTTAGCAAGGCTGCATTTGAAAAGGAAGTACATAATTTTCTCTCCTTTGTTAGACATCTACTTTTTTTTCCTGAGATCTCACCCGCTTCCTTAGCCTCAAATATCACCACTGCACAGAAAAGCAGCCCCGTTTTTATCTACTCAGCCTCTGTTATTTCTTCATTCATTCCTTCACTTATTCACTTCATGCACTGTGCTGGGTACTGAGACTACAAGCGTAAGAATACACAACCGGGTCTGTCCCCGGAGCTTCTGTGGGCCGCCAGGGGCTGTGGGTGGGGAACAGTAAACAAATGATAATGATGTTATAAGATAAGAGATATAGGCTGGTGAGATGGCTCAGTGGTCTAAAGCACCTACTTAGAACAAGCCTAGCAAAGCACAGGGACCGCGGATCAATCCCCCAGCACCACATGCCAGCCAGCTCCGCCCCCTGGTGGGCTGAGCTGGCCACACACACAAAATAAAAAAAAAAAAGAACATTAAAAAAAAAAGACTCGGGTTTGACTTAAAAAAAAAAAAAAAAAAAAAGATAAGAGGTATAATGGGAATTTTGGGGAAAAAAAAATTACTAACTTGGAGACCTAAATAGAGAGAAAGCCAACTGGGTAGAGGAAATTGCATGTACAGAGATATGGACATTCAAGTGATCATGACACCTTCCGGAAACCACAAGTGGTTTAGTATTGGTGGAGTTTATGTTGGCCGGGGACTCACAGGGCAGGGCAGCAGGCAGGGGCTGAACTTTAGGGGCTCTGCAACAGACTTGCAACATTAATCTTGTAGATTACACCTATCTTAGTTCCAATCAATTTTCCACTCTGCAGCCACGGTGATAAAGCGTTCTGCAGATGACACTGTGTGGCCCAACCCCGCTTCAACGTCCCATAAACTGAGCCCGAGATTCTCTCCAACTGCCTCACCCACGGGCCACGTGCTTCTCTGTCCCAGAACACTCTCTTCTTCTTAGACCAGTAAGAGCCTCAGCCTAGACCTCACCCCTCTTCTGCCTTCCGTGACCCTGGAAGAGGTCAGGTCTCTTGCTTTGTGCTTCCAAAACAATCAGTATGTGCCTTATCATAGTCTCACAAGGAGGAAAGTGTTGTCCAGCCTGCCGAAGAATAGATGCTCAGTTAATGTTGGTAGAGAGAACGCATGAATGAATGCATAAAGTTTTTAATAGCACATTAGATATTTCCACCTACAGTGTTGAGTTCCACATTTTCAAAATTGGGCCATCGTTATCTTCTTCCTTGCCCTTCCCCCTTCATTGTGTCCCCCCACCTCCCGTCAGCTAGGTCTGCTTTCTTTCTCCATGTCTTGTTCCATTGTTTTGTAGCAGAAAGCCCAACATAAAACATCACTGAAAATATGTGACTGTGCATAA